TCAAAGGCCATGGATGTAAGTGTTTATTCTATTGACAAACTTACTTTTCTTTCTGTTATTTTCTTACGTGTGTATGATTTAGTGTTAACAAATTATATTTAAATATTGTGTGTGTACCGCATCTACGAATACTAGAGTAGTTAAAAAATACTTTTTTAAGTTTACTTGAATTACAGGAAGACAAGAGCAGAAGGAAGAAATGGGATGATGGGAAGTAATGAAGCATTGTTATGTGAAGTTTGTTGGAACAAACATATTTTTAGTCACATGTAAATACTTTTAACATTCATACACAAATCTAAAAATATTAGATACATCATCACAGGACGGATTTTACATTACATATCCTCATAAACATTTGCAATGTAGAGAAATGGCTATTCTAGACGTAAAACTATCTAATAAAAATGATGCGTTTATCGATCATTATTTGTTTCGGCCAAGTTATCCTTTCAATTATTTGTCGCCAAAAGACAAAAAAAACTGTTCGTTATTGTGAAACACACGTGCACGGCATTCCATATTTTGATGTGACCGAAGAATTAAAATGTGCCTACAAACAAGAGAACATCATTCCCATATTAAATTGGTATATTAGAAATTTGTGCAAAGACGAAGTGATCGCATACAAAGGTGGTTCAACAGCAAAACAATTTTTAAAAATGTTGCGACGAAATAGAATTTTTAATTGAAGAATACAAATGTTCAAAATACAATGATTTGGTAAATGTCATAAATTTAAACAAACGTTATGTGTGTAATAATCATATATTTGCAAAAAATAAGCACAAAATTTTACATTGTTCTTGTAACAAATTTCATAAAATCAGTTACAGAAATAGGTAATTGTGATTTTAATCAGATCACACGGTGCTTTGATGAAATGCAACCTTTATATAATTTACCAAATGTTAACTACGAGGGTGGATTGAAAAGTACTCGGCTTAACCAAGAAAATAAACACATACTAAATCAGTTATATTTTTATTTTTCTACATAATCACCATCAAGTTCAATACACTTTTGCCACCTCCCCTTCCAAGCATTTAGACCGTTGAAAAAAAATGATTCTTCCTTAGAGTCAAAATATGCGTCTACAGCTGCTTTGACCTCGTCGTTTGTCGAAAATCTTTGACCTCCCAAGTGCTTTTTAGGTTAGGGAACAGAAAGAAGTCTGATGGTGCCAGATCAGGTGAATACGGCGGATGCGGTAACAGTTCAAAGCCACAGTTGTGAATTTCAGCCATTGACTGTACTGACGTGTGAACACGGGCGTTATCTTGATGAAACAGGACTTTTCTTCTGAGCATTCCTCGACGTTTTTCTTTTATTTCCTCTCGTAAACGACGTAGTAAGGTGCAGTAGTAATCAGAGTTTATAGTCTGACCCCTTTCAAGATAATCAATCATAATCACACCTTTCGAGTCCCAGAATACTGAAGCCATCACCTTATTTGCCGACAAAATCGACTTAGCCTTTTTAGGGGGTGGTGAACCAGGTCTTCTCCACTGTTTTGATTGTTGTTTTGTTTCCAGTGTACAGTAATGAACCCATGTTTCGTCCATAGTAACAAAACGATTCAAAAAATCATCTGCATCGGCTTCAAATAACTCCAAACAGTCGCGTGAAATAGTCAATCGCGTCCTTTTTTTGTTCAACTGAAAGCAGTCGCGGAACCCACCTCGCAGACACCTTGTGGAAACCCAACTCGTTGACAATGATGTTTTGAGTTCGTTCATAAGAGATGCCTATAATCTCGGCTATCTCTCTAATTTTTAATCTGCGGTCTCCCATTATTAAATCAAGTACTTTTTTAATATTTTCGTCAGTAGTTGACGTCGAAGGCCTTCCAGAGCGGGGTTCATCTTTCACACTCTCTCTACCACACTTAAATTCTGCTATCCATTTTTTGACGGATGAATATGACAGAGCACAATCGCCTAATGTACTGACCATGTCATCATGGATGGCTTTTGATGATAGCCCCTTCTTATGGAGGTACTTAATGAAGGCACGCTGCTCGATTTGCTCCATTCGCGGAAATTATGTCCGATTACTTTGTTAATAAATTTATAAAATCACAACTAATTATCGCACACGTTTCGAACTTCACACAATGAACTAGTCTGAACTGAACTAAATAATGTGGGTAGATTTGATTTTTAGAATTGAATGGATCTGTGTTAGGCCGAGTACTTTTCAATCCACCTAGGTATCATCAAGGAATTCAAAATCTTTATATGTTTGATGGTGAAAACCAACATCTCGTTATTATTGATGATCTAATGAAAGAGTCCGATGTAACTTTAAACTCGAACAGTGTTTTGTATTAGATTAAATAGACGATTTATAAAGAAATAAAAAATAATATATTGCATACAATTTGTTTTATTTAATTTTATAACGATTTACATAGTTACATACACACAAAATGCATTACACATAACACATAAAATATAACACACAACACATATTATATACCTTAACTACTATAGTCTACAGTAACATTTCTGTCTTTATCTATCTCAATAATATTATCAAACTCAGCATAAATTATACAGTTAATTGTTTGTATTAGTGAGAATTCAAATCGTACTTCTAATCTTACACTACCATGCTTTATGAGATTTCAGTGAGCTGATGAGTTGGCTGATAAATCAGGAGTTAAGTCTAATGCTAACAGACAGTAAACTTTGGCATACTGTTCACAAGAGATTCCATTTCCTTCATTAAGAAAGTGAATACCAGTTCCCGAGAATAGAGTATGATATGCTGATGTAAATATACTATTATTAAAAGATGGTTGCAAAGCCTTTGAAGGTATTTGTTGAGTTTCACCATCAAACATATTAAGATTTGGAATTCCTTGATGATAGTTAACATTTGGTAAATTATATAAAGGTTGCATTTCATCAAAGCACCGTGTGATCTGATTAAAATCACAATTACACATTTCTGTAACTGATTTTATGAAATTTGTTACAAAATTTGACTTCCCACATGCACTTGGTCCTGCCACAATAGCAGTAAACGGATGTATAAAGTGAAACATTACACACGTCTAAAGTTCTAAGGTGTGAAATAAAAAATGAAAGTGTTGGTGTAAACAATTAATGTATATTGTGTACTATAACTAATGTTTTTGGGAAATCAAACAAAATTTATGATTAATTTAAAATTTTATTTTCAAGCAATGACCACTTGTAAAAAACCCACACTTCGTCACAAGAACAATGTAAAATTTTGTGCTTATTTTTTGCAAATATATGATTATTACACACATAACGTTTGTTTAAATTTATGACATTTACCAAATCATTGTATTTTGAACATTTGTATTCTTCAATATTAAAAATTCTATCATTCGTCGTCAACATTTTTAAAAATTGTTTTGCTGTTGAACCACCTTTGTATGCGATCACTTCGTCTTTGCACAAATTTCTAATATACCAATTTAATATGGGAATGATGTTCTCTTGTTTGTAGGCACATTTTAATTCTTCGGTCACATCAAAATATGGAATGCCGTGCACGTGTGTTTCACAATAACGAACAGTTTTTTTGTCTTTTGGCGACAAATAATTGAAAGGATAACTTGGCCGAAACAAATAATGATCGATAAACGCATCATTTTTATTAGATAGTTTTACGTCTAGAATAGCCATTTCTCTACATTGCAAATGTTTATGAGGATATGTAATGTTCCCATGATGTATCTAATATTTTTTAGATTTTGTGTCATTTTAACAATGTTAAAAGTATTTACATGTGACTAAAAATATGTTTGTTCCAACAAACTTCACATAACAATGCTTCATTACTTCCCATCATCCCATTTCTTCCTTCTGCTCTTGTCTTCCTGTAATTCAAGTAAACAATAATTATATATCAACTATACTGTCATTGTTAAAAAAGTATTTTTTAACTACTCTAGTATTCGTAGATGCGGTACACACACAATATTTAAATATAATTTGTTAACACTAAATCATACACACGTAAGAAAATAACAGAAAGAAAAGTAAGTTTGTGAATAGAATAAACACTTACATCCATGGCCTTTGATGCGTTGAAGTAACACAAATGTAGTATTAATAGATCCACTGCGGTCAAACGACCATACACTAACTCCATGACTGCAGTTGCTTGGTCTTATATAGTACCAGTAAGTAATAATTCTAATCTAAAGAATTTCTGCAGTGGAATTGATAGTAACTTTATGCGTCAACAAGCTTATCTCACATTCTGTTGCTTATCTGAGCATTACTTCGTGTTGCGTCTTGTTCAGTGTATTGATGACTCAAATACGTTTTGTATAACACAAAATAATGCAATTTAATATTTAGAAATCACTATAATTGATCGTTCCTATGTTAGTCATTGAGTAGATTGTACTATAATAATCTACTAATAGCAGTAATATCATGGATACACTAGATGTACACCAACATCTGAAAAAGATTCACCCCAGTCTAGAAAATAATGTTTATGCTGCCAATAGACTGCCCGTGTACACCCTCATACCAACGTATATAATATGCAATTTGGATACAGATGATAAACCAGGGTCACATTGGGTAGCTTTATATATCGATACGAATGACGTCGGTCAATATTTTGATTCATACGGACGAGCACCTGTACGATATCATCTAGAGTTTTTAAAAAGGAATTGTAAAAGATGGAACTGGAATGTTGATAGGATTCAGAATGAGTGGACTTCAGTTTGTGGCGAATATTGCTTAATATATTTGCTATATTAGTTTCAGGGATGTTCAATGCATAGTTTTACGAATATGTTTACAGGGAACACATTGTACAACGATATTTTAGTTGACGAGATGTTTCGCTCCTATTTTATAGATAATAAGTAATAAGTATTTTGTAAATAAAAATTTTAACAAAATTAGGTAATGTATTTTATTGATGATGGAGATAGGAACAAAGGAGTATAATACAATAAATAAACTAAATTTTATTATTTTCTCCATTCTATTTAGATAATATAGAAACAGAAGAAACATATGACGATTGGAATGTAAATGAACAGCGGCAAAAGCTGCTGGATAACTCAGAACGCTTGGAGCGTACTGGAAAAAATCTCACCGAAGGTTACAGGGTTATTTTAGAGACAGAGGAGATTGGTGCAGCGGTACTTCAGGATTTGAGTGTACAAAGGGAAACTATTCAAAGATCTAGAGGACGGGTGAGAGTTTTGGTTTTTATTCATAACTTTTTTTTATAATTAACAACTCTAGATGGTACTTACTTAATCACTATCATGACCCTGACAGACAGACAGCTCCGTGGCGCAGTGGCTGAGCTATGAGTTGCAGCTTCGAGGGCCGCGGGTTCGAATCCCGCTAGGAACATGTATTTGTATGGACTACAAATAATTGTTCTAGGTCTGGAGTCTGTTTATTATTGTGAAATTTATGTTTGTAAACTGCCAGGAAAAATACTTCGTTAAAATACTAACGTTACCCCCAGTAATGTTTTTTAATTAAAAAAAATATATTTAATCGAAAATTTATTGGTATGAAGCATAATTTGAATTAGTGCCAAATGGGTAGTAGAGTTGCAGATAATTATTAAATCTAGTGGGAGATGGTCCTACAATTCGCATATCGAAACTGGATTGCTACTCCAGAAACGAGAGAGAAATTATTAATTGACAAAATAACATCCCTCATAATGTTCATCAAACAAGCAGTATCTTTTTGAGTGCTGTATTGATATTATTACCATTAATAATGTAGCTTATGACACAAGATATAAAGATTGTCAACATTCTTCACAATAAAGTCCATCAAACTGTTAACAGTATGGAGGCAGGCTGGTGTCTTTTAGCTGTAGTGGTGACCTCCATCAGATGTATTGGGTACTTCTTTGTCATAATATTTCATCATCATCATTACAGGTTTACAGGGCATCAACATTAAAGTCTTCTGCTGAACATGGGCCGCCCCCCATAGATTGCTTAATAGGGGCAATTTTGATATTTATAAAAAAAAAACTTATATTCCAGCTCCGAGAAACCGATGAACAACTAAACCGTTCATCCCGTTTGATGAACACAATGATAATGCGCGCGTTGCAAGACCGTTTTGTGCTGATCATGGTGTTCCTTGTTCTTGGCGTGCTTCTATGCGGCGGCTTGTATTTCTATGTTACCTAGCTGACACCCGCAGACTCGGAACTGTCTTCCCAATGGGTGTATTACCTGTACATTGTGTGCAAAAAAGTGTTAACACTCGGCCTACGAGTCTACATAGTCAAGCACTTTTTAACTGCTTTCTTGTATCGCAAGTATAAAGTTTTTAACGGTTGCTGCAGAATGTAACTACTGGTTATATTGGACGTGTGATAGTGGAAATTAGATGTTGACCATTAATGTTTATTATGTACTAAAATGTAATTAAGCTTTGTGAAATGCGTCATAGAGGGTAGTTAACAATATTGTCAATGAGGGCTACCGCGATTTTTTCTGCTACCAGGGCGGACCACTTAGAATGGTGAAATAAGGTAAAGAGTGAGAAATCGTATGGGAATAGCACTAAATGACGTCATATTATCTTGTAGTCCTATATCTTTTTGTTTAATTTTCAATAATAAAAATATAATAGTACTTAAAAGGAAACATTTTTAATATTGAGACAGCTAAAAGAATCAAATTGAAATTATATGATATAAGTTACTACCCATTTGTAATTGTTAACCTGCATTTACATATTAAATGTCACATAAGGTGGCCAATATTATGGATGTCAATAAATGTTATTTTTATAAGATTAAAGTAAGAGAGAAAAGGAATGTAAAATGTTGTCCATTCATATTTGACTTGTAATTCAATTAAATTTTTTAAAATCTGCATCTGAATTCTATATTGAAATAATGTACTTTCACAGTTGTTCCATATTACTTATACTTTCAATCAGATGCAATGGTAATGTAATAAATATATAAAATTTTACAAGGCGTTTTCCTTGTAATGAATTTTGCGTAGAAATGTAAATATTTTAAACGAAACAGTATGATACGCACACAACTTGAGAGCATTCTTTTACCTGGCGCATAATTATTTGTGAAATTTCAAATATCCGTAATGCATTAGACTATTTGCGAGACGATCCTGTAAAATCCGAGACATTTGGCTACCTTAGAATTATAATTTCTGTATTTGTGAAATATGATTATATTACATTTGATTAATGGAATATAACAATATAGTATAAGATTTACCATCTATGAAAATGTGCCTACTGTTTTAGATTTCTGGCAATCAATTTACAGTAATTTTTAATGTAGTCGGATTGGCTGACGTTCTGTCTTTTCCGGTAGGTGTAAAGTTGTAGTTTTACAATGTAAATTAAAAATGTAATTACAACTCGACCCTTTGTGTCCAGAGTTTTTGATTTTCTTATTCACAAGCCAGTGAATATGAATAATTTTTGTTCATCCATGAAGAATTTTTAATAACTTCACACCTATTGGATCCTAGCATGGCTATGAACCATTGTTTTAACAAAACAAATATATTGTATATTGACATTTCCATTATAAATACTAAGAGGGGTAGGCAGAGAATATGAACTTCCATTTGGAACAATCCTGACACACCTCTCGCCTCCTTTACATCCAAATACCTACTTAAATACCCTCTCTAAGTGATGGGTGTGAAGGGTTATGTTATGTTATAGACAGGGTTAGTTTTAAAAGAGTAGCCAAAGTTGCAGAGAAGGTTCAGAATAAGAAATATAGGCGAATGGTAAAGGAAAATTAATTTAAAAAAAATCACAAACATTCTGTCCTTTTTATCTTTTAAATTCTGAATGCATGGTAATGCATTATTTTCGTTTATAAACGTCTAACATCTATACTGTTTTACTACGCACGCACACACTCGCAAGTGTCGCTCGGTTGCCAAAAATGTTGTTAATTGAAACGCACACATACTACGTACCACGTACGCGTAAGTGTTGCCCACAAATCAAACTGAAATTGACTTCAAAAAAAAACACAATAATTTGAAATAAAATTAGAAGCCTTATTTACTAGTATTTTCGAAATCTGCAATTACGGTACATAATTATTTATTTGAACTTAAATATAATATTTTGCCTACTCTTTGAAAAATAAGCCTGTAATGTGTAATCTTTGTAAATTAGTAGTGTGACCATTTGTTATGAATTCAGTTTTGCTTGGCGAATTAGTTCTAGATTATTAAGAATTAAGGAGAGAAATTGCGATTTATGGATCAGATTTTGGTGTGCCTTGAGGACTTTTACTATCCTAAGAACTATGTTAAAAAAATACATTTCTCTTTTCACTTCTAACTATTAATTAAATCCAGATTATTTGATGTAATAGATCTTATATGTAGGTAACACTGAACGTTTTTAAAAATGAAATGTGCACCAGTGAAAGCCATAAATGCTTGTTTGCCCCAATCAGTTTCTTATTAAGAATCTCTCAAAAATTAGCAGCCTTGAAGTCAAGATGTTGACGGTGTTTCATTCCCGTGCTCCATCCGGTGAGTTGAATTATCGTCCCATCAGAGTGAGAGTAAGGGAGTGGAGTGCACGTGTGCTTGCGCATACACCTGGTCATATAATCCTGTTCTCCTAAGATAACTAACCTCCGTTAAGACCGGTCGCTTTCACTGAAATTCAGCCCGTATGATCATAATAATGAATATTCCAAATTATTTCTTTTATTTAACATTACTTCGGCTAGTTCCAAGAACTTCAAATATATAAAATATCGCTTACTATTATTCTTTTGTATTACCTATTTTATTCCCAACTTAATATTGTTTATTCTAAATAATATCTATATATATATATATATATATATATATATATATATATATATATATATAATATATATAAAAATAAATTAACTACAACTATAGTTTTTAATTATCATAAGTATAACATACTGTACATAAAACTTGTAAATTTCTTGCATCTGATTATTATGTTTATTTGTTTCTCCGTGTCATATACATATTAACGTTAGAATTAAACTTATTATGTCATATTAATATAGAACTTTAGAAATGTTTAAAAATCTGTACATCGGGTCGCATCATTCTCGTGATTTTTGTAATAATATCTTTTTAATAAGTAGTTTTGTAAAAAGTTGTATGCTTTACGCAAAAGCTTATTGTTATAATTGTAAATTATTAAACAGTTCAAATATTATAAATTGTTCTATAAAGATATACATGTTATCATAAAACATTTTTCTGGATGTTGTACCAATAGAATCTGTTTTGAAATCTAAATACCAAAATCTTTTTAGTTGTAAAATACTAGATTATAAATGTCAATGTCTATGTCTATTTAGTTACAAAACTGATGAAAAGTGTTTGTTATCGGTTTAAGTCTTGTTGGGAAAAGTCAATAAATTCTAATAGATATTGTTCGATGTACATATGACGGCTCTGTTCTGAAGCAGTTTATAGATTCCTTGATTTGTCTTAAGGAGATATAGTAAGTCAGCTCAAATTCTAATTTCGCCCCCACTTCCCCGCGCGTCGTATGCTATGTACCGACATGTTTGTAATCACTAATACTGTAAGTAGAAAGGTCGTTAGACACTTATTTCATTAGGTTTATCATATTTATGCCTGTTTCTTTACGCCAACCCAGTCGCTTCTTATTTTTATTACGGTTATTTCCCATTTTAATTTTACGTCGTCCTGTTGCGTAATGTATATTCTGATCTTAAGTAACACAACTTCCACATTCAAAAGCCGAAGCGATACTAACCACGGCGGCAGGAAACAAGCTTCAAGACGACTATAGTTTAGGTAATTTCTTTTTACAGTGAAAATAATGGTATTTAAAAAAAATAACAAGCCCTGCTTTATAGTTAGTATGCAAAGTTTCATGATCTATTTTAAAGTATTTTATGAATAACAGCGGTTTATTGTTCAGTTTGAAGGTAACTTGGGATTTTTTCTATCCATAAAATTTTACGGAATCGTGTTTTCGTCTAACATAGTACTTAACATTAATCCTCAACTTTACCATATATTTATTTCAAAATTAATGCTGCAATATTTTCGGCATAACGGAGGATCTTGCCAAGCCATTTGAGGTAGTATTTTTAATATTTCCCCTTAACAAGTAGATTTTCTTGCGATGTTTTCCTTCACCGTAAAGCATGTTGTAAACCAGCACAATTAACAATTTCGGTGGTAGAATGAGAAAGTTATAGCCCTATATACGTCCCACTTTTCGACATAGGCCTCCGCTCATTTCTGACAGGGTTTAGGGCAAGGAGAGTAAAATGAGAAGACATTTAATTTTCGATATAAGAAATTTAAAAAAAAATTGATAACCTTATTTTTTAATTTTTTAAAATGCCAGCGGGGAGCTTAGCTTCCAAACTACCCCTACTCTGCGATGAAGTGGAAAAATATAATCATTCCATTAGTGCAATAAGATTTATTACATACTTACATCGGGAAAATATCCTGCCAATCGTTATTTTTAATAAGTTAGAGAACTAAGTGGCTCTGCTGATCGAAGATCTTTTAAATTAATGTGTTCAAGCTCATAAGTTCCAGATACATCACATTTACCCTCATCTGTTAAACTGATTTATAGAATATAATATATTATACATAAATAGAGAGATCATATATATAAATAGAGAGATCAGCGCAGGCTTTTTCCAATATAGACCTTTTAGTAATTATTTTCATATTTTATAAAAATGATCACGTATTGTTTTGATTGTTGTTCAAATTGAGTGATCAATGCAGTTTTCAATTGTATCAATCATTGGGTAAATTACGTTAATTTTAAACAATTCTTCAGGATCAGTTTGTGGCGGTTGTCGGTTTACGGCTTCGTACTCACATAAGCGTTTCTAATAGGATCGAGCTAGCTTAAAAATTGGATTTGTTTCAGCCTGAGATGCTATTGCCTTAGCTGTTATTAGATCAGATGAAAGGGCTCGGTATTGTTTCACAAATTCCAATTGCGAATTCAGATTCTTAAAAATAACGATTCCGACTACATAAATATTTACAAAGTTCACTTGAAACAATATATCATACCAAGCCGCCATTGTAACTATGAACTGAAGTTGCTTCATGTACCGAATTAGTGACAAGGCTTTTGATGCTGCAACTGAGTCATTTGTTACTTCTTGAAGATTCGTTCGGTTCATTAGTTAAAGTGGACTGCAGCAAGTCTAGAAACTCTCCCAGTGAGTTTCGCAATCTTTTTCAGCAATAGTCCTACATGCTTGGTTATCTCTACTCAACGCTACATTCTGAGAATAAAACGAACAGTCTATGGAAAAATCCAAATAAAGAAACTCTCTTAACGAACGTTTTGGCTGCGTCAGCTATCACTAAATTCAAACTGTGACAACTACATGAACTGAAAAATATCCGAAAATATGTATTGATTCAGAATTATCCCCCCCCCCACCTCCCCGCCGATGACAGCACTATAAAAAATGACATGATGACAGCATTATAGATACAGTCATACAACTCGAACCGCCCTATGGCCGCAACTGAAGTTAACGAGAGTGCGCAACTTTGCAACGCACACACACAAGTCCGAGCTTCACATTTTTTTTTGTTTTACATGGGGATATGCCTACGCATACCCGCCTCACGGGGGCAAAACGGGTTATGTTGGACTCGCACCGACTAAAATCCCATGGTGTTTCACCTTCGTCGCATATTAGCAGGGCTACGGGAACGCTTTCGCACACATCCGCACAACACATTCTCTGCCAGCACAGGCCGCCTCATGGCAGCCCCTTTTCTAAGGAGTACTTCCCCTCCCCCCTCCCCCTTCTCCTTCCATCTGGTAAGGCGCACTTTGTGTTTCTGGTGCGCCTTCTTCACGGCTTCCAACTCTACTTGCATAACTTGCCATGGGGCCAGGGAAAAACAAGCGCTCGGAAGCACTAGCTTTCCAGACCCCAGCGGCGGATCTGGTCACTTGCTCCACCGCCAACCAAATTGCTGTCCAAATTTTTAATCACATTGTCAACAAAATCAGTATCCTCTTCTACTATTTCGCTGTGAACACTCAGCGTATCGGGCGGCAGCAGGCACTCTCCGAGCAATAATGCAAACCATCGACTACAGAGATTAAGTGTGTTTTCGATGACCGAAATACCTATATTCAAACAAATATCCGCGCGATTTGAATTTGATAATGTATCTACATAAATACATGTGTAATTTTATGTTAGCTAATAGTAGTAGATGTAGATGCACATCCCTGAAAGTAACCCTGGCGGCGCCTATGTCGGCTAAGATATTTTTTTATTATTGCTATCACGCAAATTAACATTTCTGAACTCCCAACTAAGCCTAATTGCTTGTGCGTTACTTTAACTACAAACAATAAATCACTCTGACCTCGTCTCGTATCTTAACCCTTTACCGTTCCTGAAAGTTCTGCTTGGGATATTTTAATGAAATTTAGATTATAGAATATTATTTTCTTTTTAAAGACATGATTTTTATTTTATAAAATTAAAATTTTACCACATTTTTTTATTGTAAGGGGGTACAATGAAAAAAACTGTGGGACTCATTTTCCTATTGTCTGATGAAGGATACATTATGTGGGACAAATATTCCTATTGAGTGTTAATGAATACAATAAAAATTCATATAGATCAAAAAAATTTTTAATTAGGCTATTAGTGCTTCATTGGTAACAAGTTTGTGTGAAAATTTTCCCAGCAAGGTGTTATACAAAGACTGACTACAAATTTTGCACTCGTACCTACTCCGTTTCTCTTTAAACCTGGTACTACAAAATCTGCATCTTTTAGCATTAGCATTAAGTTTCGGGAAATGTTTCCCAAATTCTGCTAGTCTTATCTCTTCCGGCACGCCGAAATTACCCCCTTTCTTATTTTTAAACATAACCAGTCTCTTCTGACGGGAAGTATAATTATTGACAAGTCCTCTAGCTAATCGCAATCTGAATATTCGGTGAGTATTTTGGCGACATATAAATACAAGATATATGAATTTATTACTGCAGCCTCTACCATGAACCAAAATTATCTCATTATTGGTCGCAAATCCAAGAAATCTTGGATTTGCGACCAATAGAATAAGACGATCTATAATGGACATGTTTTGTGTATAATTTACTATAGCCAATGGACAGAATAACTTTTTCTTCGATCCGCCTTTTTGTTTCCTCTCTATTTCTGCAACTTCTTTAGGATTATCAGCAGTAGTCAATACCTGGACATCTTTTGTATTCATCCATCTTAACATAAGATAATGGATTTGAATGTTTAAATGTGAATTCACCAATCTTAAGTTTAGGTCGGGTACGTTTATTTCTTTCTTCTTCTGACAGGCCTTTTCTATCTGATCTTATAGTACCAGTAGAGTAGATAATTCTATCATAGAGAGCCTGAACTAAGGGGACACTTGTGTAAAAGTTATCGAATGTAATTAGTGTATCAGCAGGAACATTTCGACAAATTTTTGTCACAACATTATAAGCTAGGCCCTCTTCCGGTGCTGGTGCTGAATGATCTTTACCTACATATATATCAAATTCATGTAAGTACCCTGAATGAGAATCACACCTTGCCCAAATTTTATAGCCACGTTTTATGGGTTTTTGTGGCATATATTGTTTCATAACACTGCGTCCCTTAAATTTGACCATACTTTCATCTATGCACTGTTTTTGAGACTGTACACAGTTCTCTTGAAATGATTGATTTAGTACAGTCAACATGGGTCTAATTTTATGCAGACGGTCAAAGTTAGGCTCTCCATACTTGGCTGCAGTAGTGTTATCATTGACATGTAAATATTGCAAAATTTTTTTGAATCTCCGTAGAGGCATAACTTTGCTTATTTCATCATTTTTGAAAAAGGGATCGGTGGACCAGTACAATTCAAAATCTGATTGGGGGGATAAACCCATCATTACAACTATTCCAATAAAGGCACTTATTTCTGCTCCATTTGTTTCAGTCCAATCAGTTGCATGTAAGGCATATAAATTTGTGTTATAAGAAATAGATAGAATTAATTGTTCTGAAAACATATCTTGGAAATAATCAATTGGCTGACTTCTGTGAGTATATGTTTTGGTTGGAGTCATCTCACCATTGAATGTAGGAATTGTGTAATTTGTAACTTTGTCAGACCAATTGCGAGGACTTTTTAAAGAACGGAAGGCTTGTCTGCTTGCTGGAAATGGTCGAGGTTCTGTCACCGATTCCATTATAAGATCTAGAGAGTTATTGGCTTCTAAGCTTGGTCCAGGGATTGGGTCTATCGACTCTGATCTCTCAATAACATTTGATTGAGATGCAGTTCGACCTATATATGTAACGTAATGAACGCACACCCTCAGACACCCCAATTAGTATATTATGTTATAATCATAATGCATACACTGAATTTTTAGTTAAACATTTTTATGCACTGATTATTTATCAAATTAGTTATACTAATTCCGGAAGAATGTTGTGGTCACACTACAAATCCACGAACGCAAAGACTTTAACGTGCTTGAAATAAAGTTAATTGTTCTTTATTTTTATTGAATGACAGAATTAGTAATAATACAAATAAAACTGCACTCTTAAAAGTCTTATTGCCTTAAGTTACGGTCCATTTCAGTTTGTTTTGACTGTGCGCATTTAGTGTGACTGCAATTTACGTAGTTTTAATTATTTTTGGAATAAAAAATTACCTGTATTAAAAATTATAGGAATAGATTCAGTAAACGATTTTGAACAAACTACTTTCTCAAAGTGCTTTCATTATGTTACATGTTGTATATATATATATATATATATATATATATATATATATATATATATATATATTTTTTTTTTTTGAGATAATGGAATTTGTTCCCCGATCAACCCGTTTTCTACATCAGCAGCAGTTTCATAGACGTGCGTAGGTCTTGATTTATATCTGGTCTTTCATAATCTCGGTTAACTATTTGTTCATCGTCCCCATCGTTATCATCCTCATCGGATAAGTCATACATATCTGCTAACGCAGCTTCTATTTCACCCGGTTGCAATGATTTTATCTGAAGAAAAAAATGTATATGTTGAGAAAATAAAAACAAATTCTTTACACGAATACCTAAAGCAAAAAAAAATTTAGTTAGCTATCGGACAATAGGTATATAGTTCCCACATACCTTACCTTTTTTATATTACAAGATATCATTTATTTACAAATCTGTTTTAATATTTGTAAACTAATATAAACAACGTCAAATATAAGTAATTTATTTCAACTTACCTGATTTTTTGACGCATAGCAATAAAAATCTCTTGAAATTCACAATATTCTATCACGAAAACGGCTCAATGTAGCATAGAGAAATTTAAAACAATTGTCAATCAAAAACCAAATGTCAAAAACCGTTGAAAAAAAAGCCATAGACTATTTTATACTTTTTTAAGATTGACATTTTGTGGGATCAGAGAATACCAATGTATGATTTAAAAAAACACTTCTATGTGGGATGTATTTCATCCTTTGATTGGTTAAGGGTTAACGGGTTTCGACACGATTTAGTTAATCGCTTAAATATATGCCTTGACTCCCAACTAAAATCTACGTGCCTAATTCACAATTTTGCACCCTTCTGATTCCCAATTTATAGCAATAAGCAAATCGTCAGATGTGTATACTTCTTTCGAATCCTACAAAATTCTAATGCCATTCTAAAACAAACATTTGATTTATATAACATCGATGTAGGAAGTGAACATATTTATATTAATTGTACTTATTTCATATGATAATCATTGATGTTGAGACTGTTTAGACTTTAGATAGAAATTATACATAGGTTCAAATATTAATAGTCAAGAAGCTTAAATGGACATATATTATATAAAGATGTAAATGTTTAAATAAATTATTTCAATATTATGTGCAAAATTATTGATCTTTTGATAATCAATTATAATAATTGATCCTTTGATTGATTAATTATTGATTGCCATATACTTAGAAGCGGTGTAGAAACATCCACTTCCTCATACCCATACCCGTCGCTACCGTAGGACAAGACAGAGGGAAATGAAACAGATGTGCAGCAGATCCCGATAACTCAAAATAATTAAAAACTGTGATCAATCCGTCTGTCAAGTTTGGCAACTCTGGTATATTCACCTGTGAGGCAATCTATGGGTGAGACCTGTATTTATCAGCGGAGTTTTGGTGATGAAAGAATGATGAATGATTGAGCTGTACGTCAATGACTGTTATAATGCTTGCTCAATCTACAAGATAATATATAGGTGATTGTCTATTGGACATCATTGATTGAAAACCATACCAATTTTAAGAAATGAATAAACAGGCATTGATATAATAATAGTTTCGAAATAATTAATCGAAGAGCCACGTGGCAGTTCTTGTGATGTCGCGCGCCGGCTCGAACCGAGCTGGTCCCACGACCTCATAATACCAGTGTGAAGTAGAGGTTTATCTCTGCGTTTCGCTTGGTAAATGCAGATCCCACTTAACATGGTAGCGGAATCAAATAAAAAACTAACCCCAGGAGGGTACCAACACCATTGGTGACGGATAATCCCTCGCTGAGCATCCACGATCAACCTACCCTACTCTTCCTGAGAGTGAGTGCTCATCAGGCTGCCCCCGTTAACGAGGGGAGGGGGGAACCAATAAGTCCAAGGTGACAACTGTCACGCTCTCCGTTATTTTATGCAACATCAGGGGACTTCATTCCAACCTTAACGCTGTCCACTACCATCTGGAGACCATTAACCGAGACTCATGTGTCCTCTCCGGCTGGTACTTCATATCTCTACTACTCGGGGTACAAATTAGAACACTTTTTTGCCCCGCGCACTATTTGCGTATACATCAGAGACTTCTTTTTTCGATGATTCGGCAGTCTTGAAGCTACGGACCTGTCCATCTTATGGTTGCACGGAGACGACGACCATCCCCGCGTCTACGGGTGCCTCTATAGGTCCTATAGCGGTAATTTCAAAACAGACCGACCCATCGACAAACATCCACATAGCGACAGATTCCTTGCTACAGCAGACCCCTTTCGCAGAAATTGTGATTCTTGGCGATTTTAACGCCCACCACACCGAATGGCTCGGTTCACGTTTAACCGGGGAGATCTGTTTATGACTGCTTTGGCATATGGTCTTACATAGCTGGTTACTTCGCCTACGCGGATTCCAGGTGTAGAGGATCATGCACCTTCGATCGAGTCTGGCACAAAGCGCTTTTTTTATAGGATAAGGGTGACAAATGACATTTAACCTCGATTAAGAATCAAAATGCAGATGCGTTGTCACCCTTGAGGACTAAGGACTTGGAATGCCTCGATTCCTGTAAAACGGATCTCCGGTTCTCTACATTCACCATACGAAACACAGCTGTATTAAGCTGCTATTCACGCTACAACCGCAATGTATAAAATTCTTTCGAAGCTCCCTTCCTATGGGTTTCCCGAGAAATTGTGCAATTGGATCACCAGTTTCCTTACTGATCGGAGAATCAAGATTAAGGTAAGGTAAGATAGACGATGCATTATCTGATTTCAAGCCTATGAACGCTTGTGTTTCACAAGGCTACTTGCTATCACCAACGCTGTTTCTTCTGCATATCAATAATATGTTGCAAACTGGTAACATTCATTGCTATGCAGACGAGAGCACTGGTGATACCTTATACACCGGCTGTGCTGATATTGCTCGGGAAAACGTCGCCGACTATCGGGACAAACTTATGTCTGAAGTCGAGTCTTTTATAAACAAAATCTTGACTTGGGGCGGCTAAATCTAGTTCAGTTCAATCCCCAGAAACCACAAGTTTGCGCGTTTATTACTAAAAAGAACCCCTTTGTCGTATCTCCCCAGTTTCAAGGCACTCCCCTTGCTGCCTCACCTAGCATCGGAATCCTCGGAGTCGACACATCGAATAGTGTGCAGTTTCGTGGTCACTTGGAGGGGAAGGCCAAATTGGCCTCTAAAAAGCTTGACGTGCTCAGCAGAGGAAGACAGTATTTCATGTCGGCACATCGCTTACAACTTTACAAAGCGCAAGTTCGGCTTCACATGGAATACAACAGTATCATCTCATCAATCAATATCCATCTCATCTCCGAGTGGTTCGAATCGTCGACGACCGAGTTCTTTCTATGGCACTGCGTGCCAGAGAATCACTGCACCCTTATGCATTTTCGATACTTTTATATTTTCTATCGCATCTACTACTACGAGGAGTGCTCTGAGGAATTGTTGGAATTAATTTCAGCCGCCAAATTTCACGAACGCATATCGCGTCAAAAATCTCGATATCATCCTCACTATTTGGATGCTTGGCGGCCCTCCACTATGCGTTTTACTAGAAGTTTTCTTCCTTGTACAACTTCTCTGTGGAATTGCTTACCACCAGCGATTTTTCTGTACCTTACACGACTTAGGACCTTCAAGAAAAGAGCTTACTACTTTTTAATTCCCTTGATGTTGCAGTTGTCCATTGGCGGCGGTAGTCACTTACCTTGTTTTGTCGTTCGTTTTGTTTGCCCTCTCTTTCTATGAAAAAATACATATTTTTATCTTGCGGTACAGTAGACGTAATTGGAGTGGAGCCCGCATCTAGGCAAATGTAGTGTGGGATGCCATCTGAAGAGATGGAGCGATGATTTTCGTGGTGGCTGATAGAAACTGAATGCGTGTAGTCTAAGTGGCGCGCCTTTTTGGAGGTCGTGTAATTTTTACACAGAATCCTTAATGTACCTATCCTTTAGAACCACCCAACCAAGGAATATGCTACTATCTGCTCCCACCTAATATGGATGAAGTCAGCCAAATTTAAGAGTGATGGAGTAACGAGGCATGCAGAGTAGATGGTCTATCAGGCTATGTTGATATTCCTTATTTTATTTTACAATACAATATAATATAATACTCTATTGTACACCAACGAAACATAAATATAACAAATAATCAACAAACAGTGAGGGAAAGACAAAAGGCGGTCTTATTGCTACATAGAAATCTCGTCCAGACAACCCAGAAGAGGAATATATACTAAAATAACAACATACTTTAGGTAGATTAATGATGAATGAGAGAATAACTAAGAGGAGGAAGAGAGATGAGTTAAAGAGACAAATAGTGTTCCGTAATCTGATTAAATAAATAAATTTAAAGACATAAAAAGGAATTATTCTCGTCAATGGTTCATAAGAGTAGTTATAGTGGGATCGAATCCTGCAACGGAACAAGTATTTGCATGGTCTACAAATAATCGTTTCGAATGTATGTGTTAAGCGGCTCCACTTATGTATTATAGTATTCTATGGGCTCCACGATAAAGGAGGAATTCTTAATTAATTTAAACATTTGTTTAAAAGAAATTCATAGGTTTACGTTGTCACCGACTGATTGATATAAAAAAATTGGGTATCCACAATGAGGAATAATAATATGTACGTTCTAGAATTGTTTTTGGTATTTATATTTGATATCACAAAATTTACACATTTTTAATTGAGAGTGATATCATATAGAACGTATCACGAAAACCCTATGATTCCTGTTAAGTGCATCATCGGAATCAGTATTGAAACTTATTGAAATTACTTCAGAAAACTCGACCATAAAAAATTATATAAATTTTTATTTGCCAATTGTATGTGGTTTTTGTGATATATCTGATCTGCGGTGGTTTAATGACGATGAGTAGGTAACGGAACTTTTGATAATACTCCCCGGCCAATGCAGAGGTAATAAATAAACCACCGAATTTTCTGAAGTAAAGTTAGTTCTAATCTCTTATGAATGTAATAACAATAAAAGTTTCAAATAAAACCAAACACCTCAGTGTAAAATTATATTTTTGTAATATTCGAAATAAAAGTACAGACGACAACAAAATAATATTTCTTATGAATTCTTAATCACAATAATATCTTTAAAAACAATCAGCAGTTAGTTTATCTCGCACACAATAAATTACTAAAATTTTATAAATAAGTAAATTACATTTCACAATGAAAAGAAACGCCAAGTGGTGGTACACAGGTCAGGTTTCCGCTTTGCACATTATTACTAAGGTTTATTCAAGTTTCAATACACACAGAGTTCCTTTTGTAATCGAATTGTTCCATCTAATTTTCATCAAACATATTGATATAGGGGCATTTTCTAACGGTTAGCGTTACCCACGTAAAAACAAAGACCAATTATATAGTAAGTATATATATATATATATATAAAAATAGTTTTCTTACATATTTCAAATAACTTGACGTTGTATTTATTGCAAATTCACACAAAACTATTTTTGAAATATTGTTCGAAATGTCATACAGATAAAATAATATTATTATTTTATTTTTATTTTTTAATAGTTTAATATTTTGGTATGAGTAACGAATAGAAACACATAAAACATAAAAATATACATATTTCCAAACATTTTCATATAAATTTCTCCAAAAACAAAAGTGTAGAATTCAAATTAGTATATATATATATATATATATATATATATATATATATATATATATATATATACCATGAATCAATTTACACTGCTGATTGAACCCAACATTTTTGGCAACAATAATAATAGAATCAGATGTTACTTTGGGTTATTCCGTTTATCCACCCTAAAGAATCCACCATAGGGTAGATACTCTGAAACTCTTACCCCTCTATCCACCCAAAAAGGGGTGAATAATCGGAATTCACTTTTGTTTGTTCTTCCGACTTTTGACTCCAAGTACAGTTCAACACATACACTTTAATTATTATTTTTTAATAACCATAATCCTTATTAAAAAACTTATTACTTGTTGCCATTACCGGTACTGCAACAGCCTATTAAAGTCCACGCATTAAGTATTTCATTATTAAGTAGACGTAAATTGATATCCTGTATGAACTCCTAATTTTTAATGTACAATTATCAATCGTTTTTTTAATTTCTTTGCTCACAGTTGTTAGCGAAGAATTGGGCGTTTTTTGCAAGCATTCCAAAAACGTTACTATTGGAGATTGCAATAATTCTCTAATCCTATGAATTACTCCTTTTATTTTCAGCATTGACCTTCCAAACAAAAATTATGTAGTGTACATACTTTAATAGGTAATGTCTATTAATTATCTTCAACCAGTTTTTATCATGTTTCTATAATTGACTGTACACAGCCGAGGCGGAAAGTAGGAAGAAAAATAATATATTATACGAATTCCCATTATCTACTCCGTCTGGGTGCATTAGATGAATACGTATTTCCGAGTGTCCACCTTAGGGTGGATTAACTGAAATAACCCGTTACTTTGCGGAAATCCATTATGTGAAAGAAAGTTGTTTTTTACGCGGATCTTAGCATCTTTAATATTATTGTAAACGGATGCTGGCAATTCTGTGATCACTAATAAATAACAAATACTCTCGAAACTAGCTAGACTGAACATATTATGAAATAAAAGTCAATTAACAGAGAACACTGCGATAACATATAAACTTTAAAAAAGCTATACAAGAATTAACATCTGATTATTTATTACATCTTTTTAATGGAAAACGAAACGATTTTAATGGAAACGCCAGCCATACGAAACTCTGATGTTTGGATTTTGTTTGACTGGCGTAATGCTCTCATTACAATTCGGGGTGTGTTTAAAATTTAGGTTTCTTGCATACAGAGAGCGGTCACGCGGTCAAGCGTTCGGCGTTCGCGTTCTGCGTTCGTTGTGTTGTATTGCGTTACATAGATATAACCACACAGAAGGCATTCTGACCGCGTTGGTCAAGTAGAACGGACGCGTTCGCGCGTGCACTGCTGTTTCGTTGACCAAATTGGAAGGAAGATGGAGACCGAAAAGCTAGTTATGTTAGTACGTGAAAGGCGTTTTTTATACGATGTAAAGGACAACGATTACAAAAACCAAGGAAAAGTAGCCGAAGCATGGTTGGAAATTGCCAGAGAAATGGGAAACGAAAATGGTAAGTCATAAAATAGTATTTTTTGTCAGTTGTTCAAAAACTATTTTTTTAAGGAAAATAGAAATATATTTGTCGCATCCGTAGATATTTCGTTGTCGGATTGACATATCTGCGACATATTTTTACAATCTGGGTTTTGTACAATAGTAATAAAATCTCAGTCACAATACATATATTTTTATTACATCGTTATTCCAGCCATAATTTAAAGTCATCCACAGTAAAGTTATGAATGAAAGAGAATAACCTGCTAACAGTAAAGAAACTGTAATGCATAATTATAATAGTCCTTGGAATACCTTATTTATGAATTATGATACACTCTTATACTCGTACATTAAATACAATGCAGAAGTAATTTGTTGGTATGCCTAAATCAATTCGTTTTTTCCAATTATGTAAACAAATATGACAGAGAAATTCAGAAAATTTGTCGTAGTAGTCTTTTTTGAAAAAATGAGATGATTTGAGTGTAGGTACATAATGAAGCAGTTTGACACTTATTAAATTAATGTTCACTAAAATATGAAATAAAGTGTTCACGAACTTCATATGGTGTCATATTACTCCTCTGGGCATTTGGTGCGAAATCATTAAAAGATCGGGCATTAACATAGTAACGACGAACCATATCCTCATCTACTACTTTGTTGTCCCCCTTAATTCGTTCAGTAGTTGTGTAAGCAACACGCAGTTTATTACTTCATTTGTTGTTTCAGTGTTTAGTTCAATTTCATTCAAAAAAAACTCTCCATTTCTGAGCGAAAATTCCGAATGCACTCTACTATACGCCGTGCACCACAAAGTCTGCGATTGTAATTTGCTTTTCTATGGTCCCGAATTACTATATCTGTAGGAAATGGTCTCATTAAAAAAAATTCTAACTTGAAACCACCATCTCCAAGAAATACGTGAGACACAGGTAGTTCCATCCCTGGCAATGGCTTTGGTGGTGGTATATTAAGCTCATTGTCAATCAACTTTTTGTAAAAGGCGGAAGTTTGAAAAATTGTGCTGTCACTGTCTTTGCCGTAACTACTTACGTCAATCATAATAAATTTATAATCAGAGTCCACCACTGCCAGCAATACTGTTGAGAATTTTTTTATGACAATAATGCAAAGACGCCGTGTTGGATGGGCATTTTATTGTTACATGTTTGCCATCTATACTGCCTAGACAATTTGGAAATCTCCATCTTTCCTGAAATCCCATGACAGACTGCTTCCACATTTCTTCCGACGGGAATTGCATGTATGTTGGTTGTAGATTTTTCCAAATTGCACTCCACGTTTCCTTGATTATTTTTAAAACAGTAGATTTTCCCATACAATATTAATTGCTTGTTGTGGATAAGTAATCTCCAGTGGCAAGATACCTGGAACAAAAACATAAATATATTAAAATATATTAAATATATTATTAACAAGTTTTTTTTATAAATGTGCAAATTCGAATTGATCGTGCATATATTTGTTTACAGGTAAACAACGGGCTACAAAATGGAAAAGCATGAGAGATAATTATAAGAAGTTCAAAAAGTCAACAGAAACGGCTTCTGGATCTGCATATAAAAAATACCAAAAATGGCCGTGGGCAGATCAGCTGCGATTTTTCAGATGACACCATTACACTGAATGAAACTGATGGTAAATATTAACAGTGAAAATAGAAACAGCACTTCACAAATGTCTGACTCAACCAAGTGCAAGTAGCAGTGCTGATTCGCGAGATTTTGTCTCTGACTGAGAACCTCTCCCGTCCCGGTTCCACTATTAGTACTTACTCTAGAAATTCTGCCAAAAATAAAAACATAACACAAAAAGGTGATTCAGATACACAACAACAACTGATAAAATATTTACACGAGAAGAATCTTAACAAGAGAAAACTTGATGATATTGATTATTTATTTCAAAGTTATGCGACTTCTTTGAAAAAAATGCCGACTCTGATGCAAAGTATGCTCAAATTAGAAATAGCAACATTATTTGCAAAATTCGAAATGAAAATCGAAGATAGTATAAATATAACTCCAGTCAATTCATTCAATTCATCCGAAGCCAGTATGTTACAAGCTGTTGAAGAAGCCAGTATGTTAAAAGGTCTGCCTGAATTGTCATCAAGCGTAATAGATGAATTATTACATGATACACAACATGTTCAGTCAAGTGAAGCAAATCAAGACCAAAATATATCTGAATTGTCTGAGCTCAGACGTTGCTATGAAGAAGCCGCTGAAGTAATTAATAATGATGATGGATAATGCTTAAGATTATACATTTATTTGTTTAAGGAATAAAGTAACTTACCTCAAACATAACACCAATATTTCTTTTCCTGAAATGGCTTTTCTCCAGTTAGTATCTTGTTTAACTAAGTCATGTTTAATTTTGTCATACAGTTCATTGAAGGAATCAATTGTCATTCGACAAGAATTATAAAAAATTTCTTCATCTTTAACACATTTAATGAAAAGTCTATGAAATTCTCCATCTTGTTCTCTATCCTTATTTATTGGGCGCACCGAGTATTTTCTTTTCCGTCTTGACGCTGATAATGACCACAAAATCAATAATTCGTCTTCCGATGAAGAACTATCGTCAAAAAACATGGTGACACAAGTGGTACCGCGTCGACCGTTCAACAGCGGGGTTTGTGAGCAATTGCACGCGCGAACGCAGAACGCTTGACCGCGTGACCGCTCTCTGTGTGCAAGAACCCTTGAGCGAAAGTAAGTTTTTTTAGCGACAGTAGCCTAATGGCAGGGCGTGAACCGCGAACTGAAAAAGGTCGTGGGTTCGAATCCGCCATTCGACTACTGGCGTGAACCACTCGTAACACAAGCAATTTAAGCTTACCATGAGTGGTTAAGGGGAATATTATTAATGTTTATAGCATTGTTAATATTCTTTAAAAAAATTAAACGGTACGGTGCGAATACGATAAGAAAAAGCAATAGCGACTATTTTGTAGCCACAAAATTAAAAATACGTAGAAAACACACACGACAAGAAATAATTATACAATCCAATTCAAGTGCAAGTAAGTCGAATACATAGCAATGAATTCAGAATAAGCCTGAAATTAAAAACTGTGACTAGAATCACTACGCAATTAGGGTTACCATCTGACCGAACATTAAGTGCCAAAACCGGACTCCGTCCGGATTTCAATTCAGACCGGATTTTACCAAGCCGGCTATATAAGTGTATATCAAGTGAATACGACTTCAAACATAATTATTCATGAAGAATTTTATAATAAAATTTGTGGTGAAACCAACTAAGAAATAAAAATTTAAGTCGAAATAAACATGCACCTATTTAGGAAATAAATCGTAATTATTCTTTGAGTTTTATTGCCGGAATGCCGGCTGAAGACCGGACTTTTTTCACAAAAATCGAGATCATTAACTGCTTGCGAACCACTTGCGGGCTCAGGTAACCCTATTACGTGAGACGTCAAAAATTGGCGAGAATTACGAAATATACATACTGTCATTGTTAGTAATATTAGCTCAAATTAGAAAAAAGTTATAGTAATTTGGTTTCTATATAAAAATGATTTTAATGCACATTGTTTCTTCTCACAATATTTTTTTTTGTTTCATTCTTTACATAAACTTCTTTCTTTACAGGCATTGGTTTAAGTAAATACTTTTTTGCCTCAATAATATTCTATACGTATTTTTCACCATTTTAATAGATAATTCTTTATCTTGTCTATTCTATAAATGTTAATGAAAATTTTAAAACCATATCATTATCACAATATTAAAAACAAGTTTCTCCTTTGCTAGTAACACTATGTGAGGTTCGATTCCGACACTTCAGGATTCTCGTCTTCAACCTTCTGTCCTAATGATACCAATCGCATTTTGTATTCATTCACTTTCATATCCTGTAAAGACAAAAAATCTTAAACAAGAGTAAATAATTACGAAATATTTTCTAAACTAAACAAAGGCACAGAATAAATAATAGTACTACGTACAGAAGTTGCACTCATTTGATGTTGATTGCTTGCAGGCGTTTAATAGCCTACATAATTACTATTATTATAATAGTCTTATATAATTATAACAGTAGAAATGTAATCGTATTCTACTTAGTTAAAAATCTAGTCAGTAAACAAAGTTTCAGTTTCAGTGTCTTGTGTTACATAACTTAAAATATTTTAATTACAAAAGACAAGTAGGTCAAGTAGACAAGTTTGTAAGTAGATACTTGGATAGTGATGTAAATTTCAACTAAGTTTTGTAATAAAGTACAGATAAATTATTACTTAATTACTTTTTGTCATAAGTCTATCTGATAAAAAAAATGAAATAATTTCATTTTTTATAACTTCCTACTAAAACCCTTCGGTAACTTAATATATCTGAAACCTTTTGTGGTCATTTAGCATCTATTCCCGCAACAATTATAGTACGAACAACGTTTTGCCATCACAATTTATCAAATAGGTAATATACATAAGATTATATATAATTTTTAAATTACATTAAAACTTTTTTTAATTATTTTATCCTACAATTAAATCTATTAAACACTTTAAAAACTATTTCAACAAGTATTTACAAAAAATTATTTACGTAAATAGCGTTAAAAAACTTTAACATTCAATCGCCTACAACGCGCTAGCCCCGACTGCGTATGTTACCCTGGGTGACTCGCGATTGTACGTAATTATTTCACGCAGGTAGCAAGAGCGACAGAGGGCTGACAAAGGGAAATAGTAAATTGTTGAGTTACAGAAGTATTTTAATGAGGGTCGACATAGTAATAATAATAATTAAATTACCATATAATTATTATTACTACATAATTAACTGTGTGGTGTCGGTGTAGAAATATCCATTACCACTTATAGTCCCGTGGCGTAAGAGGCAACACAGGGAATCTGAAAAAGGAGATAAGCAGCATCTTTCTGATAACAACTGAAAAATATAAAAGCATTGGTTGCCACCCACCTGCCAAGCGTAATAACTATGGCAAAATTCTCCCTGTGAGGCAGTCCACGGGGGAGGCCTATGTTTAGCAGTGGACTTTATAGACAGTAATGGATACTACAACATGTTATAATTTTAATTTGATACTTTCAAATCAATTAAGTTTAAGAGCAGTTAGTCGGTTTTTCTTTGTATATTAAATTTGTATAAATTTTAAATTTAGATATATAAAAATAAAAACATGTTTATTTGACTACAAGACCATGGCCGGTTTAGATTTTGAGAAGTGACAAGTGTGAGTTGCAAGCTTGCATGTATGAAGTGGCAAGTTAGAAGTAGCAAGTGCATATTTTATTCCCACTTATCACTTGTCACTGACTGTTCACACGCACTAAGCACTTGTCAATTCTCAAAACATAAACGGGGCCTATTAAGTAGTATCACGTCAATTACTGGTCGTAATTTTTAAACAAATTTCCATAATAACTTTCATTTTGACAGCTCGTAGAAACTGTTTTAATCATTGAAATATATTGTATAATTTATGTAGATTTTTAAATTTCAACTTTTTTCCACTGCATTATTTAAAAAAATCCTTACCAAATCCGAAAGAAGCACTAGTAAATCATCTTGATCATTTTTCAGCTTCTCCAATTCTGCCGCTGCATTCTTCTTCTCTTCTTGAGTAGTTTTCAACAGATCATTTAGCCTGGTAACTTCTGCAGTGAGCTGTTGTATCCTGGCCTCATATTCTCTTGCTCTGGCATCGTCTTGGCTAGGTGTGGTGTCAGTGTTTGGCACACATTTGGCAGCGGACACTTGAGCTTTTAGCAATGTGTTCTCGTCCTTCAGATGGGAGTTAGATGCTAGTGAATCATTCAAGGTACTCTGAAAATCATATAATAAATAATATATTAAATTTGTAGAATTCATAAGATAGTATAAGGTGAATGAATTTGAAATAACAACCATATTTGGAAGTGAGATAGGTTTTAAAAGAACTAGTCTCTGCATAACAAACTCTGGGAGGTGCTCACCCTAGTAGTGGTCCCCAAGATGTGTGCAAAAACGTTCCCATGGCCCTGTCAATACATGGCGAATTTGGAACAAAATGGGGTTTTAGTCAGTGAGAGTCCGATATAACCTGTCTTTTTCCCAAAGTCGGATATTCATAGGCATTTCCCCCATGACGGAGAAGGCATATAAGTACAAGTTAACAACTAGTGTCGCAACTTTGACAGCTCCACTGACCTCTACATATATAAGTACGCTGGACTGGCTATAACATACAAAATGTCTGTGCCAATTTGAAGCACCCCTAATGGTCGGCTTGGAAACTAAAGTTGACATAATATGCCAAAGTCGTCGTCTTATTTAAATTGTCTTATTAAAAAATCTGTATTTTGAACTTTTAAACTAAAAAACGAAAGTATTTTATGTTGTTTGATTGTGTATAATATTAGTTACATAATAAGAATTATTTTTAATAATAATGAGAGTGTGCGTAATCTGTAAAACTCGTCACCAAAAGGGAAATGGTATAACATTTCACAAGTAAGTGAATTTGCAGCTAATATTAAGCAAATTAAAACCGTTTGATAATATAAATATTTAAAAATTTGTGGCTGTATATTACCGAGTTTTGATAAACAATAAAATTCAATAGGATTGTCGAGATCCTTGTCTATAATACGTATCGATATTCTTTCCTACCCATATCTGTTAACAAACAAGGTCGCCAACAACAGATGATTATCACATATTTATTAATTAACAGGTTTCGCACTGAACGTAGACTAAAATTATGGCTTAAAAGCATAAAGAATTGTGAATTGGCGTCCGAAACAAAATGATCATATTTGTTCTAAACATTTCATAGACGACTGTTTTATTAGACATGAGAACTATTGTTTTATTAGACATGAGAATTATTTGTGTTGTAAAATCGTTACTGTTACTTAATATCATGTTGTGTGCACATGTTTTGGAATACCATCACATGCTATTACTTGTATTTATTATTTTCTATCTATTTTATAACTTTGTATTTATTATTTTCATTTGTTCATGTTTTGGTGTTATTCTGTTTTGTGTACCTAAATAAATAAAACTGCACCACTTTAAAAAAGGGCAGTATTCCGACAATATTTTCTGGTAGTACCAGTACCAGTAAGTATAAAAGTATTGTTATTATTTCGAATGTTTTTTTTTTATTTCTTCTATCCTCATTTTCCCACAAACTCAAGGGCTAGTCGCCAAGTGTCGAAAGGTCGCCTGATGATGTCGAGCCACGTTGGATATGTGTTAGTTGG